AGCACAACCTTAGTCGCTGCCACTTTTTGAACCACAAACTCTAAACAATGCTGGTGGAGGAAAAGCCTGGCCATCGTCCTGCGTTATCGTCATATATGGTCATACTAGGAAGAGTGTTATGTGTTACCTCATGGGCCAGCATCCTGTAGAGCTCCTCTTTAGAGATAGCCAGCCTCTCTCGGTCTGTGCTGTCCACCACCAGAATGATGAACTGGGGGGAAAAAAAAAAGTCCATGCTAAGTGACCTCTTTTCAAAAGGCACAGCAACAAAATGCAACACAGCGGGTGGGCATTTCCGAGGCTGAAACCCTCACAATGGGAAGTGGTGAGTGCTATGCAAATATCCCCTCTTGAATAAGAAAAATTGTCTCTGTATGACAAAATGCCAAAGGCATGTTAATTTGGAAGAGATGTGAGACACACCATCAAAACTAAGGCAACAACCACCAGAAGATGACACAGACCAACACATTATTCAACATGAAAGTGACTTGGAGCACAAACTGTTATGTGACCATTTGACTTTACAATCAAAATATAAATACAAGCTACTCCAGTAACTGCAGAGCTGCAGTAAAGTCTACAGCATCAGTTTAGCCACTGTTTGATACAAACACACCTGAATGTTACAGTAGTTTAACTCACCTTTCCATAATAATCAGTCACATAATTAATCTCATAGGGTTTCCTTTTTGCATCCTTAATTCCTGGAATTCACATATTTCAATTACTTTTTTAAACCTATCAATATTCACGTTATATTAATGTGAAAGTGAAAAGCAGGTTCTTAGATTTGAAGTTTTTTTTCCAAAAAAATATACTGAGTTTACTAACAAATACATTATTTCATTAACAGCTCCTAAATAATTAATTTACTAGCAGTCTGAGGTTTAAAAAAAAAAAAAAAATCAATAACTGACCGTTAATATATTCCCAATAAAAGCAGTCAATAAAAATGCTGAATACTGCCTCTTAGAATTCCCAGAAACCCCGACATGGGGTGGTTTACATTATGCCAACTCTCGCTTCTCCCACAACCTAGGAACTGCTCCGAATCAGCCATCATCATCACCTTGATCCACCTTGAGGAATGAGGGAAAGGTTGGATTCTGGAGCAGCTTAAAGCAAGGACACCCAGGTGTATAATCATGTCTTATATCAGGCGACATGATGTATTAATGCTGCACCTCCACATAAAGAACAAAGTTTGCCATCGGGGGAGGAGCTGAAGATTGACAGCTTTACTTCCTCCACGCTCACATGTCTTTTTTTGGATCTCTAACACATCACAAAGAGGATATGAGAGAGAGATGCAAGTGAATATGTGAGGAGACATTTTAGGATAATGGAATGCTCCCACAGAAAGCATAGGGAACAATGAGGAATTGAGCTTTGTATTCAAATCATGAAGCAGCCAAAATGGATATAAACCTTTAGTGAATATTGTAAAGAGCGGTCTTTAAGTTCTCATACACATCTGCCTCTGCTGTTTGTCTTTTTACTGTGGCAGCTGACCCCTTTGCTTCTCAGACCGGCTCCTTTGTGAATAGGGTGACCTTTGACTTGGGCGGCCTATGCTGCCGTCTGTGCTCCGAGCAAACACCAGCTGCTGTGCTCAGGGAGAAAACTGTGCTCGACAATACATGGCTACTGTCGAGTGTGAAAGACTCTGCAAGGTGTTTCTCACCTCTGTATTGGAGTAGTAGGTGTTCCAGGAGGATCTGAGAGACTCCTGCCCACCTATGTCCCACATTAAAAAGTGGGTGTTCTTCACCACTATTTCTTCCACATTGCTTCCGATGGTGGGAGAAGTATGGACCACCTCGTTCATTAGACTGAATAAAACAGAAATGCAAAGTGGGTTTGTGTTTTTCCAACTTTAAAAGCATTCAGGAAGGAAGGTTCAAACTGAAAAAAGTACTTACAATTGGTAGAGGATAGTGGTTTTCCCTGCATTATCTAGTCCCACAATGATCACCTTGTGCTCTGGAAAACAAAAAAAACAAAACAAAAAAAAACAACTCAGAAATTAATTTGAAAGTATACAGTTTGAAACAAAAACTGGATCAAGCTCACAAAAAGCAATCACACCAAAAAATAAAAACCTCAAAAACTTACTTCCTACCTCATGTCTTCCTGACCTACTTTTCCCAAATAAACAAACAAACCTAGACCTACACTAAACTCCTCTCATTCATATAACAAGCTAGAACATAGAACAACAATGAGGGTTTGAGGCTGGTGCGAGACAGGCAAACATGGTGGGCTAAATGCAGAATTGAAGGAACATGTAGATACTAAAATATTTCAGGCCAGTGTTTTAACTTCTTGCCCTTGCGAGGCCTCCGGCTGAGAGGAAGGAAGGAAGTCTGGCCAAAGGGCATCGCAGCTCTGAGGGTTTTGATGAACTACATTGGCTTTCCAAACATTTTACATGTATATTGCTTCCTTTACAAGAAGCAACATTACACGGTTTTTCCTGCATATATTAAAAAATAAATAAATAAATAAAAATGTTGGCACCCACCAAAGAGGTTTTGGTTTAGCTTTTTTGGTTTTGTTTTTTTTACAGTTTAACTATCAACAAAAATTCAAATAGATGTCACCACACAGGGAAAAATACGCGTATGATGTCCAGAGAAAGGAAACATTTATTCCTAGAATGCACTAAAGAATTAAAATTCGGCAAAAATAACACAAAGGGATTCATACACCAAGAAGAATCACTTCTTGTGTCTCCAACCACATCTCTAGTAATACAATTACATGGTGATGATGACATAGATTCAACTCCTAGTCTGAGTCCCAACAATTTCACACAAACCACACAGCAGTCTCCTTAAGTAAGTAAAACTTGACACTGGGAATAGTTTAATCCAGAATTGGGTAACAATGAAAGTAGGTATTTGCCACTCTTAGGGCCAGGCAGTAAGTAAGCAATATAACACATGCTAAAGAGCACAAAAAAATAATTCCCTATCAGATGACAAATGATGACTGGAATCAAACAGAAAATACAAATTCTATCTGTAAATATAACCACATCCTTCATTAATGATTTACACTTCCTATTCCTCATTATTAAGAAAAATAACACTCACTTACAGTAAGGGGAAAAAAAAAACCCAGAAAGTTGAAGCTGTACAGTTAATGAATACTTGACACTGCATTGGAGGACATTTGGCAAACCCACATTGAATACTTTAATACAGAGGACCAAAACTACCTAAAAATCAATAATTTGAAATTTGTTTAGATATTCTTATTACCCGAGAGCTTATTTTGGTACTTCTTTCGACATGTATACATTTCTTTACTGTTCCAAGATGCAAGTGATGAGGAAAGGAGTAAACCTTTTGTCTGTTTAATATATATTTTCTGGGTTGAATTGTATTTTTTCTCAAATTCTGTCCTCCATAGTTTAAAACTCGAAATTACACGATAATGTTGGTTATCCAGCTTGGTAACCTATCATAAACGGGAGCAAAATACTAGTTAAGACTAGTTCCATTGTTTTAAGTGGACACTTGGAGCCACAACTGAATAATTATATTTACAGTAAACATCTTTCCAGAAAGTCAAGGAAAAGTTATGTAAGGGCGACGTGTCCTGGACAGTGAGCCAAAGCTGATTGACAACACTGTGAACATACCCCGGTAGGTTCTTAAGGTAATTATATCGGTTGATAAACAGATTAACAGTTACGATGTTGGGTGGCGTCATGCGGGTGGAGAGTAGTACCCTGGTTTACAAGATAAATAAAGACAGTTCAGATGGCAGTGCTTAAGTAAAAATAAATAAATAAAATAGATGTGTGGGGAGATAATTCTGCCATATGCTATTGTGGCACCTCAGCTGCCCTCTTCATGCTAACGGGCTAACAGTTCGCCTTATCCCCGGTTGAGAAGCCGGCGGGAGATAAGTGAGCTGCAAAAACCGACACCCACCTTGGTTACAAAAGAAGCTCCACAGTTTGGCGAGTATGAGGCCCATTGTTAGGGATAAATGCCGATGTCCGTCCCTCTGTGGATAGAGCGACTTTCTCCACTCTGTGGTCCGCACCGTGCAGTCCGCGGCTGGCTGCTTCTAGCTAACACTAGCTCAAAGAGCTCTGGTCTACAAAACACCTCAGCGACCTTTTCAATGCAAACTCCATCTAAAACATCTAAGCCATGAAGCTAAAACCAGATCTAAAACAATACCGGGATGAGTTATTATTGTGTAGGTGTAAGTAAAGCCTAAAGCCCCCACAAGAAGTACAAATAATCCCTGTGTGTACAGAGCAGCTGTGTAGTCCCCGTGAGTATCTACTCCTCTCTTCTTCTGCCCGTTAGCTGCCAGTTGTCCGGTGAAAAAAGCAATCCCGACTGCTCAGTTATCTTCCGGTTACGTGATGACGTTTACGCATCGTGGCATGTTTGTCTTTTAAATCTCCAGTTTCTGCTTCTTCTTCTTTTTTTCTTTTTTTTTTAGGAATGGTTCTTATCAATGAAGCCAAGCCGCTAACACTTCAGTTCCACCTTTATTTGCTTCTAAATTATATTGCCTATAACTATAAAATTCCTAAGGAAAAGGAGTTTAGCCAACATTTAAAACAAAAAGTTTTATGTTTAAATGTCATAATTTTAAATGTTTTACTATTTTGATAAAGTTTTTACTTGTTAGGTTTTTATAAATAAATTTTTATGATGGATATATTATTTTATAACTTGCTTTACTGTTTAAACACAACAAAAAAGACAAAGATTTATGCACACACACACGTACACACGCACACACACACATGCAAAACATGCAAATAAACTTTATTTTTTTATTATTTATAATTGTTTATTTATTTATTGAAAATGCTGTTTTCTTTTTGGTGGATTTATTCTTGAGCATATTCTTCGCACAATTTTTTGTTTCTTTTTATTTAGAATTTATTTAGATTTTTTTAAATATATCTATTCTGTTTAATTAAAGAGAAAAATCAATAAAAAAAATTAAAAAGAAAGACAATTTGTGTCACGTGGCCTATGATGTATGCGGAAGTACTTGCAAGAAGAATGCCAAAACAATCCGGTGGACTCCACGCTGCACAGAAGTGAGTAACGAAATACAATTAAAAGCACATTTACAATGAAATCAGACCTGGAGCGGAAAGAGAATTTAACAGTCAATGTATTAAATAAATTTTAAGAAGCGGACTTGTTGAATGTTACAGAGTCGTTTAAGTGATACGATCTTTCATATACTTGGAGAAATTGCCTGATCTAGCGATAACATTTTGGTCTGTACAACAGGTATCGCTGAATTGTTGGTCTCTTTAGGTTTCCACATTAATCCAGTGGCGGTGATAATTAAGATGTCCATCTGACACGTGTTGCTTTCCTGCTTTCCTTTCCACAGTCTGAAGCCTTGTTAAACAGAGGAAATGTCGATTTTCCCACGAATTTCCCTGAAGCCTGAAGTGACTGAATATCTTAAGAGTGTCTTCTTAAACAAGGAGGTAAGAAGACTTCACATGCACTTCTTGGGATCGCTGTCTTCCCTTTCAAATGAAAAGATAACTCACTGAGGGAGTAGTTAGGATGCTACAAGTCGTCATTTATCGGCGTGTGCTTTCATTTAGCTGTTACAGTATATTTTCTGCAAATCTCTCTCCGCATAACAGTCACGAAAACCATTTGAGAGTTACAAAACGGTTACATGTGACTTTCTAACAAGAAATATTAAGTAATCTTTAACAGAAGTCCTGCTCCCTTAAACACTGATGGGTTCTCTCGTTCATTTGTTTTTTACAAATCATTCATATTACATTTCTGTTGTATGCAGTCAGGCATTGAAAGAGCTCAGGAAACATTCTGGATACTGATTCTGAAAAACTAGTTAATTTATTCATTACTTCTAGGCTGGACTATTGTAATTCATTGTTACTGGGTTGATCTGAAAGCTCCCTAAAAGTCTCCTGGCACAACAAAGAAGCATCATATTACTCCTATGTTGGCATCTCTTCATTGGCTCCCTGTTAAATCCAGAAAATGAATTTAAAGTCCTTTTCCTCACATACAAAGCCTTTAATAATCAGGTGCCGTCATCTCTTAAAGATCTCATAGTAACTTATTATCCTAACGGAGCTCTTCATTCTCAGACTGCGGGCTTACTTGGGGTTTCTAAAAGTAGAATGGGAGGCAGAACCTTCAGCCATCAGGCCCCCTTCCTGTGGAACCAGCTTCCAGTTTGGGTTCAGGGAATAGACACCCTCTGTGCTTTTAATATAGTTAAAGTATAGAGGTAGTTAGGGTTGGATCAGGTGACCCTGTCATTAGATTTTTGTCTATGCTCTTAGTCTGTATTTTGCAGAAAAGCACTTTATAAGTACCAGTCTGTTTACCATCTACAAACAGTTCTTTTGTGTTACTTCATCAACATAAAGGCACACTGTATGCTTTTTATTACCTAACCCTTCTATTTTATTAGGTTTTAACGGCGGTGGGTCATCAGGAGGCAGAGCATCGTTTCCACAAGCTGCTCTCATGTCTGTCTCACCCACCTTCATACACCTGCGTACGAGCCAGCACCCATCTCGCCCCCCTTGAGGAGATCAGGCAGCAGCTGGCAGAAGAGCTGAGGAAGGTGAGTCTCTGTCTGGTAACAGAATGTAGAGGGCGTAAGAAAACCCACACAATGGGCTTCGGTATTTGGTTGCAGTGTGTTGGAGTCATGCTTATTTAGTTTGTCATTGTTTTTCTAGCAGCTGATGTGCAGCTCGTTAGCAGAGGAAGTCTCTGTGCAGATTCTGCCACACCCACGAATTGCGGATGTGCTGATCCTTCCTGTTGAAGGTCCGAGGTATGCGAGGAATGCTTCAGATAACTCTTAATCTGCTCTGTAGAGGTCGCACTCAGCACCACTTGGGCCTCTGAGGTTCTCCAACATCCAAGTGGAACAGCAACAACACAGGAAATATTTCTGATAACAAAGGAACAACAAACACACCCTCAGATAGCTGCCAACAAACTGTCAGTCAAAGAGAAGAACGGCATTTTTGTGCGTGTATCCTCTGTAACCGTGTGATCGTTCTTTGTCCTGTACTCTCAGACCTGTGAAGCAGCTCGGCTCAGAGGTGGTGGTGGGCGCTCAGTGTGGCGGCGCCGTACTGAGAGGCGCTCACGTCTTCGCCCCGGGGATCCTCGGCAGCCCCAAATGTAAGACTTAAAAACAGTAGAAGTGAAGTGAGGCTGTGAATACTTAGAGCAGTGGTGTCTTTGTTTTCTTCACCTGCTCTGTGATTTGGAAGCACGTTTTACTTTTTGCCAAAGTATCTTCATTTGTTCCAAGTGTTGATTATCTCCCTTAAACCGAACCGTGTGCTGTTTTGTTTTCTTGTTAGACATGAAGGCGGGGGATTTGGTGTCCGTCTTCTCTGACCTGGAGGGCAAGTGCACCCGAGGAGCCACCAGCTTCCAGGGGAAAAAGGTATTTGTGGGTAATGGAGTAGCTGAAATGGACCGCTCCACTATCTTCTGCACAGATGAGCCTGCCAGGTAAGTAAACACTGTCTTTTTTAATTCCATATTCAGACCGTTCCACAGTTTCACTCCATGAGCAGAAACACAAAAGCTTTTTCTAGTACGGACCTTCCCTGTTTTGAAGTTAGAAAAACCCCTTAAATTATAACTTCCTTCTTTCAAAATAAACATACTCTGAATATTACCTGGCAGTTCTTTATTTTTTGCTTTGAATAGGATTTGTTTTAAATAATTTATGGTCTCTAAAGACCTCTTGTATGTTTTGAAATGCTATGTTGAAAATCCCTTGCTCTTTTTTAAAAGCACCTTGGACAATGTGGATAGAAACTTTAAATTTACTCTTCATCTTAGAAACGTGTTAGCTGATTAGTTGTCGTCTTTTTTTCTTTCAGAGGTATCGGTATCCGAATGGTGGAGCCGCTTTACAGAAGTCCGTCCTTTGATGGTGTTTTACCTAGCCTAGCGTTCCTGCAGGTATTTTTTATTAGAGCCGCAGTGAGCTAAAGTCGGTGTAATAAACTAGAACCGCATTGGACCTTTATTAAAGTGGACCTATAATTCTGATTTCCAAAATAATCCGTATTTTCTGTTATAACTGGCTTTGTTGTAGCCCCTCAATTTATCCTATGGCTCAGATAAACTGTCCTGTATTGTTCTGGAACAGCTGCACCTTGCAAACAGATGGTTTGAGCAGCAGGTGGATCAGGAGTCTGATAGGATATCCGTTCTTTATGACATCATACTGATCCAAGAATTTAAAAAACTGCCTAAAACATTCCTACAGAATGACAGACAATGTAGAATAACGTATTAGGTCCATTTTAAAAAGAGCAGCAGTGAGGTTTCAGTCTGAATCAACCAGGAACTGTATTGTATACATGTTATGTCCACATCACTGCCCATACTGAAGCGAATCCATGTTGCGCAGAACCTCCCGTCTGTGGTTGTGGGACACGTGCTCGGACCTCGCCCTGGGGAGCGCATCCTGGATATGTGCGCTGCGCCTGGAGGGAAGACCTGCCACATTGCTGCGCTCATGGGAGATCAGGTTCTTGTGTCCAGATGCGATCATAATTAATATTCAGAGTATTTTTGTTTTTTTTAATGCAGTGATTTGACTGGTCCATGTGGATGGTATGTTGCCCATGAACTAGAATGAATTTGACACCAGTGATTTAGATCTAGGTCTCAAGCAACACTTTACATTAACTGTTAACATAGAAAATGATCCAAGTGGAATTTAAGTACATTTAAGGTCAGCATCTGTACCCCACCAAAGGGGCCCACCACCACCCCACTGGGAGGCTGGTCTGTGTCCAGCCTGGAGGAGAGGGCGGACAACAACACGTTCATCTTTGTGTAATAAAATTAGTGATCAGATTGTGTCCTTGTTAGCATTTACTTGATTTAACTAAAACGTCTCCTGAGATAAAATCAAGCAGTCTAGGATTGTAATTTGTGAAATTTCCTTCCTTTTTAAGTTGTTTCTAATATATTTTTTTCCTCCGACACAGGGAGAGGTCGTAGCCTTGGACAGGATCCGGAATAAGATCGACCGCATTCGTCAAAATGCACAAATGTTGCATTTGCAAAGCGTGAAGGCGCACTGCTTTAACAGCACTCTGTCTGTGAGCAGTGACCCAGCACAGGAAACTGAAGGTACAGTCCAGAGTTTATCTATGATGTAAATCTCCGGGGTTCATAATAAATAGGTAGCAGCTCAGTGTCTGTGTTTCCCAGGACCTCCGTTCCCTCCGGAGAGTTTCGACCGGGTTCTGCTCGATGCTCCCTGCAGTGGCCTCGGACAGAGACCCAACATGGGCAGCACCTGGAGCCTCAAAGAGATCTGCTCCTACCAGCCACTGCAGCGCAAGTTATTTCATGCTGTAGGTTTTACTTCACACACATAAACCACGTTTTATCATCTTAACATCACAGCAGTACTAGCGTTCTTTAACCTGCAGGTGGCAGCATTGGATAGAAATTCCACTGCAGCTTGATCACAGCTCAGATTTACTTGTTTAACGTCACTGTGAGGTTTGAAGCTCACTTCTCAGGCTTATGTGCAGTTTTACAAGTCTGTTCAAAAGTGCGCAGAGAAAGCAAACTGTCATTTCAAATTTCTGCGAATAACCTTTCGAGACCTGATCATTTTCTGTGATTTCGATTTAAAAAGTTCAATTGAATTCAATTTTATTTATGTAGCACCAAATCACAATAACAGTCGTCTCAAGGTGCTTTATATTGTAAGGTAAAGACCCAACACTGATACAGAGAACACAGCGAAAACCCCAACAATCACTTGCATGGAAACCAGCGCAGAGGACATGCTTCGTTAGAGCTTCATCAGTGTTTCCTATTCCTATTTTATTTACCATTAGAACACAGAAACCACATCAAATATTTAGAAAATGAAGATGAAGCATTTTAAGAAAAATATGAGGTCACTTTGAATTTGATGGCAGCAGCGTGTCTCAAAAAAGTTGGAGGAGGCCGTGTTTACCGCTGTGTGGCATCCCCTCTTCTTGTAGCAGCAGCCTATAAACATCTGGGAAGTGAGGAGAGCAGCTGCTGGAATTTTGGGAAAAGAATGTTGCCCCATTCTCGTCTGATATAGGATTCTAGCTGCTCAACAGTCCTGGATCTTCGTTGTCGTATTTTGTGTTTCATCATGTGCCAAGTATTTATAGCTGGTGAAAGGTGCAGGCCACTTCACTAGTCAGAGAATCTTCTACTATGAAGCCGTGCTGTTGGAATAGATGCAGTGTGCAGTTTAACAATGTTTTGCTGAAATTTGCAAGGCCTTCCCTGAAAAAGACGGTTTGGAGCAAAATACCTGCATATATCTTTCACCACTGATGTGGCCTTTCCACGTGTGCAAGCTGCCAATTCACTAATGCACCACTACACCAAGAAAGGCAGTCTTTTGAACTGAATGCACACCCAGAATGTGATAAATGATGAGTATTAGAGATAATAGATCTGGTGTGTTTTCCCGTCAGTGACCATAACAGGCAATACTTTTGGAAGCAAATGTTAAAAAGCTGTGAAGATGAATCTTTAATACTTTAAATTTGGGCCTTTTAAACACGACAGTCTGTGGGAATTTCCACAGTTTTGGAGCTAGCCTCAAGTGGCCACAAGAGGATCTGTAATTTATTTGGTACTTAATTTTAAACCCTGGAGGTTACCTCTAAAAAAGAGCAGCAAAAAATGAACTGAAACCAAATAGTTTTGGTCCAGTGCTTCTAAAACTCACTAAAAAGTTAATAAAACCACGATTACACCGACTATAAAGCGAGTACATGAATACGTAGCTATCTGTGTCTCTGCAGGCGGTGCGGCTGCTGAAGAAAGGTGGTGTTTTGGTGTACAGCACCTGCACAGTGACTCTAGCAGAGAATGAGGAGCAGGTAGCTTGGGCCCTTGACACCTTCCCCTGCCTCTCACTTGTGCCACAGGTAAAGCACTTGAGCCACATGGACGTGACTGCAAATGTAAAAATCACAAAGTGAAACCTTTTTTTTTGTTTTTCAGGAGCCCCACATCGGTGCTGAAGGCATGCCTGGAGCCGGCCTTCCACCTGAGCAGCTGCGCCTCCTCCAGAGGTTCAGTCCCGAGCTGAGCTGGGAGCAGACGGAAATTACAGCCCCGCTCCCCTGCAGAGCCGACAGCGACACTATCGGCTTCTTTATCGCTAAGTTCCTGAAAAACTAACCCGAGGGCTCGCGCTCTCGCACGGGGCTCATATGAGACAGCAAAACGGGAACAATAGTGTTTATATTACGACACTCTGTGTGCTTTGACGGGCCAGTGTTGACAAAGAGCTCCCTGCGCTGTTTACAGCATCTGCCTCTTAACAGCTGCTCTCTAAAACCGTGGGCCATATAGGGATAAGCTTTATAAACACCAGGGGAGGGTTGGATGGAAGAGGGTGGTGGTTGGGGGGCACGTGGCGACGGAGTCTGGATGAGTAACGGCAAATGCAGCAGAAGCAGCGCTACGGTTGCTATAACAACAGTGACGACACAGCTGCCATGGTGACGGATTCGCTGGAGAATGGATCAGGAAGTAGGTGTAGAAAGAGGCCATGAGAGGAATTAACAATTTAGTGTCTTTGCAGCGCTGGAGACGACTGGGACATTTAATTAGGACTTCTGGAGCCTGCAGGAAAGAGGAGACGCATGTGTTTGGCTCAGTCTCTGCATTCATCAGAAGGAAATGTTGCTCAGTTTTTCAGAATAAGAGCACATTTAAAGGGAGGCTGTTTCTGTTTTTGGAAGTGGTTAAGAGTAAAGATGTGAGAGGAAAAAGAGATGTTATTAAAATGATGACTTCCAGGATATTTAGACCTTTTTTTAATTTGTTTTTTACTAATAAAATAAGAGTTAATTTAGATAATTCCTTAAAAACAAGATGCCAAAATAGTCCAGAGGTTTTTTCATGATGGTAGAGTTTACTCCTAGAAGACCTTTGCATATGATCTCAAACCATTTGTCAATTGTTGTCTAAATTCCTTTTAACTAATTGTATTTAGCAGAGATTAAAAAGAATTTTAGCTAATTTTTTTCCTTTTTCTCTTTTGTTATTTATTCCTTTTTATGCAAGCAAAACACAAATCGTCTTATATTTGAACATTTAGTCAACACATCCCAGACAAACGTCACGCACTGACATTCAAAAAAATACCGCCACCCCTCATTTCTTTATATTTTGCTAGAAAAACAGGTGCATAGAATATTACTATACAGGACAAAAAACTGCTAAAGAGCTTGATAGCCCAAAAATAGATAATTTTCTGGGCTTCAGAGCTCTTCTTTGGATGTTTGCTGTTTGTGTTTCATTCTCTGTAAGATCATCCCAAACTGCTTCATTGATGTTGAGGTCTGGGCCATGACTGATAGTGTTCCATTGTGTCTTTTATCCAGGTATTTTTTTTATTGCATTGGTAATAATTTGGATGCATTGCTCAATCAGACCTGTTACCACTGATTTTAAGCTAAGTTCTTGCATAACTTGGCATACCTCAAATTAAATGTTCTCCCTGTTTGCTTTCCTAATCATTGGCTTCTTGACAGCCATCGATTGTTTTTGCCTAAATATACAATTTAGTTGCTTCTTTTCTCTGTTGTATGTTGTACAACACTGGCTCGTCTCTTCAGTTAGGTGCCTTTTGTGCTTAAATTACTAATTAAAATGGTTTGTTAGACAGAAAAGGCTTAAAACGTTACAGAAACATCTGGCACTTTTTCATATTCATTAGAATATTTGGGGTCTAGATATTTGGTGCGATGAAAATCGACATTCAATGGCATCTTATTTCTCTGTGTGATCTTATGATCTTCAATTTTTCAAAGCTTTCTGATGTTCCCATAATGAAAGGCTTGGTAAAATAATTGATTCTCCACTTCCACTTCATATCTGCTCACACACATTATACTGTGTTACATATTGCTACATGTTCACACGTGCTTATGGTTGCCAAATATAGGAACTAATTTATTCAGTGCAAATTTAAAATGGATGTCCAATAAATCCGCAGCCTGTGTGCAATTTATAGATCCGTGCCAGCAGTGCACCGACATCTGTCCCGTTCTTCTGACACGCAGTATTTTGAGGACCTTCACTATGACCTCAGCTCAATCCCCTTTCCTGGGAATAACATCAGACTCTTATCAGTCCACGCACACATCTGTCTGCGCTGCACTTCACCTCCCTGCATCTAAGCTGCATGTGAGTGCGGACTCGCTGCACCACTGAAGATTTGTTTTTCCCCGATTTCACATTAAAATTCAAGATCAAATATGCCTCATCTCCGAGTTTGTCTGTTATGAAGGCAGCTGTGAGTGTGTGTCGAGGCAGCTTCCTATATTAGAATCATCCCCTCAGCATTGTCATTCATGTCGGGGTTGTCATGACAACTCAGGAGGCAGGCCGGTGAGTCTACCTCAATTTTTTAGTGGAGTTTCAGATGACTATTTATAGACGCACCGTTTCCCTCCTCTGTCTGGGTCTTCTGCTGACACAAACATCAAAACGGTCTCCCACTGCGTCAGTCGTTTGTTTCCAACTTTATTCTTCGTATTTATGCAATATGTACACATGTACACTGTTATAAAATCTGTAGTGCTACCAATGTAGCATAGAAATGGACGAGTTTTTATAATTACAATTATCAGGCAAAAAAAACATTTAAAAAAAAGGTGAGGAGATGGTGTGTAAACAGAGGGCCAGAGTGCACGGACTCAAAGATCAACTAAAGTCTATTCAGGTTTTGATGATGTTGTTGACTCAGGCATATAGAGCAGGTAAAATATCCCCAAATCCATTAACCAGATCCTGTATTTTAATCAGAAGAGTGAAAAGAGGGCAAAAACTTAAAGGCAATATTTATCTGGTAAACACTTGGAATTATTTTTGTTTCTTTGGAATTTCAGAAATACCCACACTGAACAACAAATCCTAAAATTAGCATTGTTTGTACTAAGAAATCAAAGTAGGACTTAAATGGAATTCGTTAGAAAAGGGGTCAGGATTAATCCAAGATGAATCATCAGGACCTACGATTTGGTGGGAATGTTATATCAAATCCCTTTCACTTGAAACCAATGTGAAAAAGCCTGTTCCAATGTTATAAAATGTTTCTGGACCCATACAAAGAACAGTACTGCATGTGTTGAGAGGAAGTTACTGGAGAACTCTTTGTCTGTCTTGTAAGGCAAGACTAAGGTGCGCCTGCAAGAAGGCATGAATATGTTAAAACGTAACATCTAAAACCCGTGGAATCAAAAAAAGAAACTAAGCAGTAAGTGATGAACATAAAACGAGCAGTTTGACACTTTGGGAAATACGCTGTTAGAGTTAGAGCGATACCACTCTCATATACGAATCCCCCTCCCCCAGTAATGCCACAACCTGTTATTTGTAGGGTTTGTACAGATTTCACCAACACAAAATGGTAATTGTTGAGCTTTTAGAGGTGCTGGTAGGTGGTTTTTACCTTCAGAGAAACTGTTCACATGAGCTCTTTCCTCCTGTTTATTTGTGCTAAGCTAACCTGCTGTTGGCTCTACATTCCTACAGATATGAGAGTGGTATCAAGTTTTTCACCTGCTAAAAATCAATGCAGTCTGATATAACAGTGCTGCATTTATGAAGAGTATAGTATTCAGTTATTTTTTAAATCAAACAGTCATTGATTCAACTTTATGATTATTCTCAAATCTGTGATTTATACTTACTAAAGTACTGAAAGCTGTTAAGCTTCTTAGAGATGCTACGCTTGGCTGATCCCTTACTCACAGTGGGTAGGTTTGGTAGAGTTTTTACACTGGATTTTCTTCTTGACACAACCCCAAAAGGGATTTGTGTCTGCCGTTTTGTCCAGTCTACCAATCAAAGTTGTCTCCTTGTGGACCCCTTGATCACTTCAAGAACTGCTGCTATTTTAAGTGTATTTCAGACTATTTGTAGTAGGACATTTATAGATGGTACAGGCCACCATTCAGGTCCTCTCCCCACAAATGCGTGCCTCAGAACATTCGTAAAACAGTCTGGTCCTGGTGGATAAACTGACAACTATGTGAATCTTGAAAATATGAAGACAAAAACGAGCATGGTCCTGACCTAAAGCACTGTCACTGGGATTGGACTCTGTTTGGTTGCTTGGTTGTAGCCTGAAAGCTAATTATCACGATGAGTTACAATCATGATAAACCTTAAAGCTGATCTGTTTAAAACAGAAGCTCTTTTGAGGTTTGTGGTTAAATCAGCACAAATGTGCAAGGTCTCAAGTGACCTAAAACTAAAAACAGGAGCAGCTCTGAAAGCAGTCCAGAGGTGTACAAGCAGACTACTTAGAAAATGAGTAGTTTCTATAGTTTTCAATGTAATTATGGGAAGTGTTATGGCTAACACAGAGAGACAGACAACCATTCGCGCGCACATTAACACTAATGGGTAATTTGGATTAATCAGTTAACCTATCCCCACAAACTGCATGTCTTTGGACTGTGGGAGGAAGCTGGAGTACCTGGAGGAAATCCACGCAAACACGGGGAGAACATGCAAACTCCACACAGAAAGACCCTGGCCTGATGGTGGAATTGAGCTCAGGACCTTCTTGCTGTGCGGCAACAGTTCTAACCACTGTGCCACCGTGCTGCCCTACACTCATTAGGTGTACATAATAAACTGGCAACTATGTAGGCAAGTGTTATTTCCCAAAGTGTCAAACTATTCTGCAACTACAACATCAAAGTATGATGGCTGGTCAACCCTCGCAGTAGTCTGAAGGAACAAATTATTCAAGTGGTAGCAAGCAATACAACTTAATAATAATAATAATAATATTAGAAACAATAAAAATTATAATGCTAATCACAGAAAGCACAGCTCAGTACAGAAAAAATTCTGCTTTTGTGTCATGCTTTATCAAACACAGGTTTAAAATATGCATATTTGAGAATATTCATGCATATCCACACATAAACAACGTCTATGCATAGATACACACATACATATATTCATATATTTATATTTGTATCTATGTAATCAAAATCCTGCCATTGAAAAAGATGCAACAGCATTTACAAAGAAGTGTACATAAATAGGATGCTGTGGTTTTTCAGGGTATAGCAGCACGATGGGAGGACAGAACAGAGTCCAGGAGGGCCTTGGGAGGGGTTCTGGTCTGTCACTGGTGGATGTATGAGTCTCTGGCCCATTCCCCTGCCTCACCCCTCTTTTTTGGAGCTACCTCCCCTTCTCTGTCCCTCTCTCTGTCCCGGTCGTAGTAGTGATGGTGGTGGTCGCGTGCTGGCCGGTGGTGGTGGTGAGAGCGCTGCTTGTTCCGCTCATTGTGGTCCTGTTCGCGCTCTTTGGAGCGCTGGTGTCCCGTGCTGTGACCGGCCTCGTCCGCCCCGCTGCGGTGATGGTGGTGGTGGTGATGGTGGTTGTGGTCCCGGTGGGGCAGTGGCTCGTAATGCTGTTGCTGCTGGGGATGCCCCTCCCCTTGATCCTCATCGTCCTCCTCTTCCTGCTGAAGACGCTGAGTGCGCGGCTCAGTACAAGCCGAGTCCTTGCTCTCTCGACTTTCTCGGCTCTCCCTGCTCTCGGGGGTCTCAGAGTCCAAAGTCTCTTGCCGGGAGAGGCCCTTGGCTTTACTGCTGTGATGGTGGTGGTGGTGATGGTGGTTGTGGTGTTCAGTCCTGGTAGAAGATGACCGGTGGTGGACGTGTTGGGATCTCCTGGATGACTCTGTCCTAAGAGGCCTCTCCTCCTCGTTGCCCTCCTCCTCCCCCTCTGCGTCAGCATCGCCCTGGTCCAGGCTCTGGTGGTGGTGATGATGGTGGTGACGGTGATGGTGGTGCTGGTAATCCTCTCTGGAGCCTTTCCCCTCCACTTTATCTCCCTTCTGCTCTGTACTGTTTCCCTGAGATTAGCGACACACATCAGTCAGTACGATGACACATACAAAACCAGAAAACATCACAGCAAGCACACGCAAACTAAAAATCACACCACCCCAGTTGTTTCACCAAAATTCACACAGAACTACAAAGAAGAAGATGTCACACTTGAACACACACGCTTTCTCGTCAAATCCATTCACGGCCGACTCTGACCCAGGAGTAAGAACTCAAAAAAAGCAAGGCGTGCTCCTCGGCTTCAGCTTTCATCACTCGACCTCGCCGCACTTACCACACTAGCAAATACAAGCTCACTCCTGCTCCTCATCAATATCAGCGTTTTCTTCGCTCTCAGTCTTACATTGTGATGGCAGTGGATAGAGAAAGGGCAGATAAGGGGATTATGCAGCATTTACAGATGACTGAAACTGCCCATAACGGTGAGGGTTGTTATAAAATATATTAAACAAAAACAATGGTTTAGAGCTGAGCTGAAAAGGAACTACATTAGAAAAGGAACTATTAAAAGTAAAATAAATGATTTCATGTTAAATACTAAAGTCCAGCTCTCTGTCTACGTCCAAACTGTCTCTAAACTGTTTTTATTCTATTGAGTTTTACATGTTTTGTGGTAGTTAAACTTCAGGGGTCTCCTGTATCATCAGCATCAGCCACGATTAATCAAATGAACGTGATAACAGCATTGTTTTGACCTGTTAATATGAATTTTGTTCCCATCTCTTGAAGCGTGTTTTGTCTCTGCTAACTCTTTTCTTGCTGTCAGCTCCTGTTCGTCCTTTTATATTTGATGTTTTCTCTGATCTAGTTCCTCTTTATGCATCAGAAGGTTCTTGTAGAGCATTTTAAATTCAGTTTCTTCCTTAGTATTTCATACCCTTGTACCTATCCTAGATAAAGTAGATTATTCTTAATTTACACATTACCTGTAGTGCATATGTTAAAGAATAACATAATATGAGAAAAGTAAAGACTTTTAGCAGACATTGTAGATGCAAACTACAACATTTTGTAATTCTTCAACGCTCTGATTTCTTTCATCTCTTCCTTTCTAATCCTGCCTCCCACACTTCTGGATCCCCTCCTTTTCCATGGCCTCCCTTGGCCCAGAGTATGCTCAGCACTTGTACCTGCACGCCAGAGACCGGGGCCGTGCTGGAGGGCAGGCTGGCTGTGGGTAGCTTTGCTAGCACTGGGTCAGGGGGGCTGCAGCTGGTGGGGTGAGTGCTTTTCCAGTAGGCCTCCAGGTAATCGGCCATATGCTCACATGCGTCCTCCAGCTGGTTCTCATCAAGAATGATGTCAAACATTTCCTGCGAAAGGCGAAACGGGCGCAGTCAGAGTTGAAGGAAATGGAACGGAGACATGACAGGGTCAACAAAACCAGCCAGCGCTGATGTGGAACTTCACATTAAAAGACTTAAAGTGATCTTTAAGGAAACAAAAAACGATAAAAAAAACCATCGGGGCAAGTTAGAAACAACTCACAGGATTAGACACTAGATAACATTAAGTATTCATTTTGCAGAAAATCTTAAACTGTAAATCCCTAAAGATACTGACTGCTATTTAAATGAAATTAAACCTCCGCTTTCACAATACTGGAGGGTTTGCCTCATTTTCTAAAATAATAAGTAAGCAGATTAGAGAGGGACGGAAATAGAACTGGCAGAAATTATAAAGGAATAAACAAAACCTGACTTCAGATATGCACAAATTAAAACCCAGAGCCAAAAAGAACAAAACTCCAAGTTATTTCACACACTGGATTAAAATTGGCAGTAATTTCGGTCCGCTGTGGAGACTTACAGGAGGGCACTGAGCCAGCTTGTCGGCGGCCACCATCTGGACATTGAGGTGTTTGGCCTGCGACTTGCCTCTGGACTTGATGAGCCGCTGTAACACCTGAAGGCAAATGAGGACGAAAGGCAAGAAGGTCACGGCTGTTTTTGACAAACTTAAATTAAAGCTTTGTGCGTGCAGCACACAAGTTTCTCAGCTTTAAACAGGAGCTTCTTTTGGAGGTGGACAATTAATGTAATCTTAGAAGGATTCATTTTACAGCACTACAGATAGATAGTAATGAATTTTTAAAACCCATTTTTAGATGAGACCCCATAAATGTGGGTTGAAAACCTCAAATCCTAAGGCTCAACTGGTTAATTAAATCTGCCATTGGCACTTATATATGATATCTAGAGCCTGACCAATATATTTCTCTTGGTGATTATAATCTGTTCTTGAAATATAGAGTATCATCGGGTATGTTGTCCAGTCAGCATGTGGGATTTTTGTTTGTTTACAGAAAACAATGCAGAAAAAGCATAACTCTTTTCCCTCCTATCAGTAAGTTGCTAACTAGTTTGTGAAAAAGATAATAAACAATAACCCTGCTCATTTTAACACCAGCACACTGTATTTATTTGTGGTTATACTGGATATCCATCCAACTATCCATTTATCATACCCAGCTGTCACAGGGTGAAAGGCGGGGCATACCAGAGACAGGTCACCAGTCACAACCATGCCTATGGTCAATTTAAAATCACTAGTTAACATAACATGCATGTATCTGGACTGTGGGAAGAAGCTACACTCGACGGGCCACCTTCGGACACATGACCTTCTTGCTGAGAGGCAACAGTGGGACCCCCTGCATCTCTGTACAACTGTGCATATAGAGTATATATAAATATGATATGAAAACTACTTTTTGTATTGAAATATACTTTTGTTTTATGTGTGCGGCAGGCTGCAATGTGCTACTACTGTAGAATAAACATTCAATATTTTCCACAAACTACCAGGTTCGTGCCACGTGGTGATATTTGATGGCTAATGTCAAACTTCTGTCATTAAATAGACTTTGTGTATGTCATAAATAAATATAACCTTCCCAAAATAAATACTGCCACATCCAAGACCATTTTGGGAGGCATGAAAATTAAACAGCCGTGTTGCCTGAAATAATTTAATGCAGCAATTTTGGCTATTTTTACTTTTGATACAGAATATTTAGCTCGTACGATGTCTTTACATTCATTTGTGCAGTTGCTAATGAAGTTGAGTAATTCTACTCATTTAACTGTGATTTATACAAATACAACATATTAAAAGTTACACTTAGTGTATAAGAAGCAGCAGTTGGGTGTAATTAAGAGGCCAGGTGATAAAGAGCAATTTATTTTCCCCACTTCGAGTGTGATTTAATCTGCTGCCACTGTGATTTAAAGCTGGCATCTCGTGTCTGTTCATCAGCTATTGCTTTCTCTCATTTTCTGAGATGTGCTTTTTATTGATCACTGACTCATGAGCCTTTTGTACACTTGTTGAAGGTCGAAGTGATGAATCAGTCCTCTCACGCATTTTCTCACTCTCAAAGTAGCAGTCACATCTGACATGCTGGATTTAAAGCCAGAGAGCAGTTGCAGAGAGACAATACAAGCGGTGACAAGACAGGACGACGTGAAGACAGACACACATAAACCAGCGGAGCTGACTAACACGTTTATGAGAGTACAGGGAACATCTGCTGAGCCGTTTTCTCACTGTCCTTATTTTCCATCATAGCACATGTACACTGGCAAGTGCATCTGTTCCTCTCTGTTCCTACAGACATCATTTCTCTTACCTTGGGTGAGGTGATCTTGACGTAGACAATGATGGGGGCGAGGGAAGTCTTTCCCAGCTGTGACGGGTGGTTGATGGTATCGGCGTCCAGAACCACCAGCTGTAACGTCCGCGCCAATTCGAAAATTCGCTCGATTTCACTCTGGACTTCAGCTGAAGGGAGACACAGAGGTCTGGGTTTATTCTTTTCAGAGCAGGAAATTATTTCTTATCAGTCGTCAGGGGGATTTATCATGATAGTAGCTTGTGTAACACTGGTTTGTTTTGCACTTTGTTTATCAGTGGCACACTTCCTCTTTTCTTTCTTTGCCACTTGATTGAAATCCCCCTATTTTCACTCCTTACTCAAAATCTGCACTCTCTTTTTCACCTTCTCATTGAGCGACAATCCTGCTACTCAAGTTCAACTTAGCCATTTCTTTGTTAGCATAACCAATAACTATATTTATGTTTATGGAAGTTTATGACCAAGAGGCTTAAGTCTAATCTTGTCTTTGTTTATTTTCCACACTGAGCAGTCCACTGGTGTTGTTTCCCCATTCATACTCACAACTGCAATTAATTTAAAGTTGGATAAATAAACTTTCATGCACCAGATCATAACTTAATAGCTGATTTCTTTCATGCATTCTTACCAGATCCCCTTAATGATTAAGTTCACTTCCGAATCCCCGATTAACACCAATATATCCTCTGTTGCTGACTTTCAAAGACATCACAAATCTTGTAGTGTCATCTAAAAACACCTCACAAGTTGTTTTGATGTGCCTGTGCAAATATATTTCATGATTACTGATAAAACAAAAAGAATAAAAACAAAAATGATCTCGTCTTTTAACAGCTGAGTTCGTTATCGCAGATCAGCTCTCTGCTAGGATGACAGAAAATGAACATAATAGGCCCCATTAATATTTATGCTTAATTTATTGCAAAATATTCACAATATTAAAGATACTCCTAACTCCATATTTTATTATGGACTATCCTAGAGTAGCTGTGTATGATTTAAAGTTAAAAATACTCCTTATTTATCTTAAACCGAACAATGATGCATGCCTTAAGTTCATCTACTGTCTGAAAGAAGTTGTTTTAGCTCCACCCCCTCTCTCTTTAAGCTGACTCTTGTAATTGGCTGCCTCTCGTAAACACAAGTGATGTCATACAGATCCATGAGTGTAAAAAACATTGTCTTTTGGCTCATAGGGATTACTTGCCTTACTTTTGCTGGCCTCATTACTGGAAACTAGGGGCATGTTTAATGTGACCATCCACCACTGTACAAATATATATTTGACAGATTTATACCTGACGATGGCACTAGATTAAAAAGGATCCCAAGCGTGATTTCAATTTATTTTGAATATCTGCGCAAATTTTTGCAACAATCCATCCATTAGTTGTTGAGACATCCCATTTTAATGTGGATCCCTAGAGCCACACTGAAAGCGTGGCTAAAAAATGATTATTAGTTATTATTAAAGATGAATTTTTATGACTGCTCAGAGTCCATCAGTCATATAGTACGCCTTTTAAAAATCTGAGCCTGCATCAGTGATTTAGGGCATAGCTCTTTCTGCCTCACAGAGACTTAAATATTCAAAAGACATCATGACTTCAGGGACACGGCTTGGAGACTAATAGCTCTGAGTGAGTGAGGAGCCACATTATGTTACCTCTAACAGATACCGACTCTTACATCACACAACTCCCACTCCAGCAGATGACGACGTGACTGCAAAAACAATCCTACAAATAACTCAGGAAGGCCCAGTCCGGAGAGAAATCACGGCCAAGCTCCATGACTTCCAGTCCCGACAGTCTGAAGATAACATGAAAACATTCCAGCCTAACAGCTCATTCAAAATCTCATTTTCCAATTTAAAAATGCCACAGAGGGTCACCAGTTTCACGTGTTTCCAACTTTTCCTGAAATCATTTCATCCATCTTAAAGGAGCACAGTTTCAAGCCAATGTCACTTTTGATGGTAAAATTCTCTTAAAAAGCCTTAAATTACATAGAAAGCAAATGCATAACTCTTTGCTCTTTTGGCAGGAAAACAAAAGCTTTGAGAGACAAAATAAGAACAAAAGAATGACAAAACACACCCTGAGTGGTCCTTAACTTTAAAAGCTTTATGTTTAGTATATTAAATGAAAAAGTAGGTTTGACAAACACTTCGTTATCTGAAGAAGAACAAAGTCAAAGTTTATAGTGTGGCGGCTCTCTGTAATCATTAAAAAACTGTACTTTTAACACACGATGTGCTTCTATTTTATGCTTTTTCCTGCCTTCTTCCTCTGCTGTGGCTGCTGACTGATGCTTCTGGTGATACATAGCAGAGATTAGCCTTGTCACCTCTGTTTGACTCCGGAATCTGTTTCATTCTAATCACATCTAAACCCCAATCAACCTCAGTCAAATCAGAGCAGCTCTTGAACTTATTACTGCATGTTTGCGCTCCATCTTTCATCCCAAACAAAAGAGGCCAGCCAAGGCCATTCAGGGCCGTCTAGAGTTATCGTTACCATTGTCAAGAGTTTCTTTAATCGTTTCCTTCCTTTTTGCTACGTAAGCTGGTCTCCTTGAAAACATTATGAATCAAAACACCAGATGTTCCCAGGTGTAGAGTTTTCTAAGAAACTTACCCAAATTTGAGCGTGTGTTGGAGCGTTCGATGATGGCGTGCTTGCTGGGATTGTTCAGGACCGAGCGTTTGGCAAGAGAGATGTCCGCCGTGACTCGAGTGATTGATATTCTGTCACGAGAAATGGGAGAAGTAATCAGTAGATCTGGGCTTAAAACGAGATGTTGCTGAGGGCAGCAGTTTTTATCCACTGCTTGAGCACATTTCCTGAAACACTGCTGCAGTTCTCAAAGCATTAAGAGCAATCATCACGTCATTGAAAGCCCTGCATCATGCTCACTATAAACATTTAGGCTACAGCGATCAGGCATGACATTATGGCCACCTGGCTAATAGTGTGTTGGTCCCTGCTTTGCTAAACAGCTAAAAAACTGCAATGCATTGTGTATTCTCACACCTTCCTACCACAACCAACATTAACTTCTTCAGAAATTTGAGCTACCATAGCTTGTCTGTTGGATCGGAAAGAGGATCACTAGATAGTGACCACTGCAGACCGGGAACAGCCCACAAGAGCTGCAGTTTTGGAGTTGCTCTGACTTAGTCTCCTAATGTTCCCCTAATGTATCCCACCAACCCACTAACTGGTGCCATGATGATAATAATCAGTGTTATTCACCTCACCCGTCAGTGTTCAAAATGTGATACCAGATCGGCGTATATGTGACTAAAATGAGACTTCCCTTCATTGTTGCTTTAAGTAAAGGCTCTCGTGTCATAAAGGTGGTGTCCTACACACAGGAACTCCAGGGTAAAGGGACAGTTCACTCTAAATTAAAATCTACATGTTTAACCTCTGCTGTGCAGTGCTGCTTGTTTTTGTTGATGTTTGGTTTCCCAGAATTAGAGATACTGGTTGTAGAAATGTTTGCTTCTCTATTAAATATACTGCAGCTGAACAGCACTTGCTTTGCGATGCTCAACGCTTCCAAAAATACATCTGAAGAACTCAGCAGCAATTCCTTTGAGAAACCATGACCTAGTTAGTCAAACAAAAAAATCCACCACCCCTGTTCTACTAAAAGAAGAATGTGACTTGTTACCATTACAGCTCAACCAACTGGGACACCATTAATGATTACATCTTAACACGAGCACAAATGCCAAGAAAATATACTTTACACTAATGTTCTTCATCTATTTATTTATTTCTCTTTTCTTTTAATGCTTATTGACTTGTTGCAAAGGCAGCTTCTGTGACAGCACTTCAGTCCCTGACGAATTTCCCTAAGCGGACAATGAAGTCGTATTGTATTGTTTTTCATTGATCGTGTTCATCAAATGCAAACAGTTTGTCAATACTGATACTATATCACAACTGCTCACCCTTCCCTGCAGACATTTGGAGGTGTTTTGGGGAGTGCTGTGCATGGTTTCACTAACTTTTCCAGATTTTGTAGATACAACGAACATGAGCTAAAGAGCCTTAACAGCTCAGTCAGTGGTTGAACACCCGGGGAGCTCTGCTGCATGCCATTCCTCCCCTCTCTTTCCTCTGTCTATCTGCTGTGTTATATAAATAAAGGAAAAGTATCCCACATAAAAACCATGTGGATGTTGTTAATGTCTGATCTGTATTTGCTGGAAAAACATTAACTGAAATAAAACGAACTAAAATAATATTTGTCCCTACAAAACTAAATAAAAAAAAAATACGAGAAATGTTTTCAGTTTAAGTCTTTGTCGGCTCGGTCAAACGTGTCAACGCTGTCAGGCTGACGAGGCTTTGGTGCATATGTTTACTGGGACTGAGATGTCTGTGTGACTGTGGTTGTCTGTAGTTGTTTGCTTTGCTGTACTGTGTCACGTCTTGCTCTGAAACTCCGGCAAAACCACCCATGTCAATAACAAAAACGAACACTAAAGCTAGCGAAAAACACAAAAACTGAAGTGAAAAGAGCACATCCACTGTGGGAACTAAACGAAACTGCACTGAATAGAAATCAAACATGTAAAACTCCGGAAACAGCGCTATGAACAGTATGTGTTTATATTTGAGTTTGGGCATGTTACTAACTTTAGTAACACGAACTTTACACAAGATAAATTAAAGTTTAATAATTTAAACATTTATTTTATACATTTTGAGGATTTATAACATGTGTATGCTTATGAAAAAACATGTCTTTTGCAGCCCATAACTGAGGATTCTGTACCAAAGCAACAAGAGAGCGCATATAAAAATGCGCTGTGCATTTGAGACTCGCACACGGCGTAGGAATCTCGATTGCCAGGTGAAAACTGTGCCAAACCAACTAAGAAAAACTAACACCAAATCAAAGACAAATGTCAGAGAGCAGCAGCAGGGAATTACTTACAGGTGTAAATTTGTTTAAAACAAATCAGCAGATCAAACGGTATTCTCCGCAGCTGCTGATGATCTGAGTGGATCTTCGTGTTGTGCAACTTCTAAACTAAAAAACCTCTCTGCTCCGGGTGGGAGGATGGACTCAGCATTGAGTAAGGAGAATCCTGCTCGGCTCTAGGGCCCATTATGGCCTATTAAGGACATGGAGAGGGCCTATTTAAAGCAGCGGCACACATCTCCAGGCCAAACAAACTTGTTACACACTCCCTCAGCTAACCTCGAGGGAGAGATAAATACCAGCCTATAGACTTAGAAGAGTGAGGAAGGAAGCGGGATGGGAGCTTGTGTTTTTAAAAAGGTCACAGGAAGCTTACCTTCCCTCAAATCTGTGTTTCAAAAAGTCAAACAGCGCTTTTTGCATCATGTCTGTCACCTGCAAACGAGATTCAGGAGAGAGAACAAGAGTCAATGAGTCAGGTTTTCTAAACTACTAAAGAAAATACTAAATAAAATTCAGTGTTGTGTTTGGAAAGTTGAAGCTTTGATGCACCTCGTAGCCCTTCAGTGACGGTCCAACCAGAACCACAGGCCGCATGGAAGGCACAACGTCGTACGGAGGAATGTGCTCCGTCTTCAGAAGGAGAGAAGAAGAAAAACAGTTACACATTTATGGAGACAAAGTAAACGCTCACCATCACAAATCACTTAAGGGGGTGGAAAAACAACGAAGTAGACATTTTAAAAGCACTGAAACATTATGAACCATGAAACGGGACGTCCGAGCTGGTTCGAAAAAAAAACAAACAAGCTTTGATTTATAACCGATTTGGCAGTTTGCTGCAGAAACTTTAATGATGACACTTCAAAGGAGGTTACCATAAACGAAAAATATTTATGTATGTCAGATCGAGTCTCTCGTGTCATGGTTCTAATTCCGCTGAATAAAAGGGAAGCTAAATGATAGGAAAGGTTAGTCAGGGAGTGAGAAAGAAGCCCGAGTAGATCAACAGAAGCTTTGACTGAAAACACAAAATTAGGACACAGTTAGAAAAACTCGCTCACTGCTGTACGGACAAAAACGGACCTCAGTTTGTGGAACAGCCTGTTTTTAATCAACACTTCGACTGACCTTATTATGAGGTCAACACAGTCCATGATGTGACTTTTGCACATAATATAAACAGTTATTTTTCTTTTATGTGATGCCTTCTAAGATGTATGGAAGCCCGTTTCCGCCACTAAAAAAAAAAAAACAGCTAGTATCCATAACTCGAAATTTCGAGTTATTTTCTCGAAATTTCGAGAAATATAACTCGAAATTTTGAGTTACTTTTCTCAAAATTTCGAGTTAGCTCTGCCAATCAAAAATATACGTGAATGAGGTCGCTTTCTTGTTACACGGAAGCATATGGCGCAGGACCGCGCACTCAAAAACGGATCCCAACAAATTAAAGTATGTTTGCTGATAGTAACACCATGTGATTCAGCTAATAACACAGGGATTTCATCATTTGTGAAGCCAGGCTGAAAACACTCAGCAATCTGTGCATTCACGACTGGATGTAATACCGGTAGCTTAGCTGTAGCATTTGTAGCTGAGGGCTTCAGCTTCCGGGTAACATGGAAATGACGTCATTCACGTAGATTACTGATTGGCAGCGCGAACTCGAAATTTCGAGTTGCTTTTCTCAAAATTTTGAGTTAATATGTCGAAATTTCGAGATAATAACTCAAAATTTCGAGAAAATAACTCGAAATTTCGAGAAAATAACTCGAAATTTTGAGTTATGGATCCTTTTTTTTTTTTTAGTGGCGGAAACGGGCTTCCATAAAGATGCCTTTAATTACACTTAAAAAATACTTGCAAGTATGCACATGCAGCACTTAGCATATTTATTAGACCACCTATTATTATATAATATTTTAGAAATGTAAAAAATTATATTGTTATTGATGACGCAAATGAACTGAATTCATGTTTTTATACCCAAATTTGATCCAGCACACTGTAATCCTCGAAGAAAATAAGAATCAATCAAGCATAACATTTAACCACTAAAACTACATTTTCTTTTTGGGAATGCAAATAAATAGCTACATAATAACACTAACAACAACACTCATATTGTGTTTTACAATGGGGGCTTTTTTGTAAAACAGTAAGTTTGAACATTCATGAATAACATGCATTGAAAATATGGTTTTGATTGAACTGGTGCATTCTGTTAATTAATCATTACAGAAACATAAAAATGATTTTGATTATTACCAATACAGTTAATTTAAGGCTGAACACTGGGTGTTTGACTGTGAGGCTCTCCGGTGCAGAATGTCATGTGGTATGTTTATGAGAGATCATAGACTGATATAATCACACAAATACTTTTGTATTTTTACAATTTACGGTGAACATGCATATATTAATAAAGAAAAAAATAGTTGATTCATAGAGATGAAATTTTTTTATTTGCAACCCTATTCGAATTATTTTTCTAATACATTTATAAACTACTGAAACTTCTGATACATTTTTGCATTTGTGTTTTTAGTGAACTCGCTGTTTTAGTGGAAATTTGTGTATAATGTTTTTAAGACTGTCTTCTTAATCCTTGCAAGTATTAGCATGTGGTTTCAGAGAGGAAATGCATTATGGTCTGTGACAGCGAGCCAATGACCCTCATACCTCTGTGTCCCGCTGTCTGGAAGAACAGCGTGTTTGAGCCGAGAAACAGAGAGAAGGTTTACTTCTGCTTTCTCTGGCTACTTAAAAGGACTGCTGACATTATTTTCTTAGTCATCCCTTATTTGTCCTCATGTCCGGGCGGTTCTTTCGATCTGTGTTATCTTTACGATAAGTGTTTCAGACGATTTATTTAGACTTTCTTGTTGCAGTCTGTTGCTCCGTCTTACTCATCCCTTCAGCTCTAAACATTTTCTATCTAGCATTCGCTGTCGTCAGTGAGCTTCCCCAGAGACGCTGTGGGAACTGATGCGCACTACTGCTGACTAACATGCCATCAATGAACAATGTAGCTCAGCTTAAATCCTTTCAGTAGCATATTTAACTTCTAGATTACATGGTCACTGTAATCATGGGAAACAAGCTCTACTATATCCTTAAGTCCCACAGCAAACAGCATTTATTTATTTCAGCTGTCACTAATGAAAAATATGAGTAGTGAAGCATAAGAATGGGCAAAGACATGCCCCACTGAGTTCTTGCTGAGAGTTTCATGGGAAGAATGATACAACTCTTCTAAAGCTGCCCATCAGCACCACAAATGCTTATAAATTCATTATTCTTTGCTTAATCCATATAAAGTGCATGAAACAACAAGCTGCTGCTTTATGAGGTTTTTATGTTGACCTACAGATATGTTACAAATAAAGAAACAGGTTTCAGTGTGCTTTGGCAGTCTCCATGTTTCTGTTAGTCTGCTGGAGGATTGGACCTGATTATGTTATAGTGAACTAAAGCTAAACCAAAACTAAGTTGAAATAACACTTCAATGAATTAAAAATAAAACCAAGATCAAACTATATTATATGTTTTACTTACATAAATGAAATGTAACAGGAGTTTCTTTAGTTTTAATCTTTGTCATTTATCAAATGTGTCAGCAGAGCCACCCTGAGGAGGCTTCAGCACATTTTCAAAGGAGCTTGCAAAGAAAAGCGTCTGGACTTCTTTAAGTTACTTGAAGACGTTTCACCTCTCATCCGAGAAGCTTCTTCAGTTCTAAGGTCAAATGGTGCTGTAGTATATGATTTGGACCACTTTTTGCTTATAAAATGATTCAGTGACCCCTCATGTCCTGAAGACGAAGACTTTTATGATGTTGACAGAACATCCATATCTCCTGACTCTAGAGGTTAGGATTCAAGCTTTCCTTTAATTTGTCAATCATCATTTCTTGGCTTTTCATGTTTTCTGTTTTTATTCTCTTTGCCTTTATACTCTAGCTTCATATTGATAAAAGATAGGACCATGGCATTACTTTTCTCATCAATTGTAGCTCTCACCAAGAAACAAGCTGTTCACACTGAGATCCCAAATTTACACACAAAACAATTACAACACACAGGCTGGCAGGAGCGGTGAGTAGTGTGAGTACATTGGTGAGTCTATGCTTAGGAAATGCATTGAGAGTTTTTCACAGCTCAGACCATGAAGGTTATCCCCACACCCTGCTGTGCTGGTGCGGTGCACACAAAGACTTACCGACTTCTGCTTCTGTTTAGCTGTGGCAAGACGAAAGAGGAAAAAGAGAGAGGTTAGGAAAAGGCATGCATGCTAAGTGTGGTGTGAACGCCGAGGGACAAGGACGATGGTGTAGACAAACAGGAGGGGCGCTGCGTGTAGCTGAGCAGCCATAGGCATTTTAGTCAGAGCCGTGCGGACGGATAGAGAAGAAGCGAGGGTCGGGTAGCTCAGGTAGAGTTTACCTTCTTAAAGAAGGGCATTCGTTTCTCTTTTGCTAGGGGTGACATGACAGTGTTTGGACTGGCTTTAGGGGAGCGCAGGTTGACTGGAAGCTCATTGTCCTCGGGGTCTAAGCCTGTGGCGTCTATGTCAATGGCTACCCACACAGACAGACAAGAGCATCGTCACATGGAGGTGAAGACAGGAGGTCACAGGTAGCGGGTAGGATTTACATTGAAAGTAGCACAGAATGTAGATACTACACAAAAAGTACATGAAACATGTAAAAGTACAGTTATGGCAAAAATAATGTCTGTTTTACTGAGGTTAGGAACACGTACATCTTACCTACAGCTGGATTTCAGTGACTAAATGTTGATTCAAAATACTAACAAATCTATTAAATACAAAATTGGACTTTCACCCCTGAAGCTGCTTACCAGATGAAGGAGGAGTAGATTTCCGTGAGTTAGGAACAACTTCACCTAAACTAGATGATGAGTTTGCTCCCAATTTACTGAAATGATAAATAAATTTTTTAACATTAGGCCAACAAAATTGAATATCTAATGATGTGCACATTCATAATAAATTATCTCAAAGCTAAAGCAAAGGACTTTGGTGTGCACGAGTCTGTTTACCTGGAGTGGAACTTGCCCTGCTTGGCTCTCTGCTCCTGGAGGATACGAGTGTTTTCAAGCTTCACTGGACTGGGGATGAAACCGATTTCACAGCCTTCTTTCACCAGGCGTCCTATCCACCAGTCATTGTTGTACTTCTACACATACACAAAATTCAAGAAAGTCATCTCAAACATCCTCCTTTTTATTGCTGCCGTCATCTTTCTTTCCATATGGCATCGACAAACTAGCGTACTGAACAACACCTCTAGCTCACCTCTTTGACATGGAGGAAGTCTTTAGCCTCAAAGGAGACGGCCATGCCTGGCACAGGGACATCATCGTCGTGACTCGGGCTGTAGCTGACATTTGTGCGGACGGCAAATGCAACTGGTTTGATCTAGCAGAAGGGACAAAGGAGGGAAAAAAAGAAAATGTCAGATTTCACAAGCGATAATTTGCTTTCAAACTGGAGGAAATCAAGCACAGATTCTAACACGAGTGGGGAGACAGTTGCTAAAAGTTTTTATTCTAATCTTTTTCGAACACTACTGCCAAGCTGTGATCCTCGTCTTTGTGTGAGGTGTAAAAATAACCCCGGGTGAGAGATATCAGCAGCCTCTGACTCATCCAGACTTCGTCTAGTCTTCTCTCCACAAATGAGCTGCCTGCTTTTCTGTCTCTCTGCTACATGCTACAGCACTCACATGTTACAAGTTCAAATGATGCAACATGTTACCAACCGCAGCACCAGTAGTACAAGTACGCTCAAGCAAAATCAGCACTTGCGTAAATGGTAAATCATAAATCAATCCAGCATTCTTTACAAAGACAGAATCAATACTGACCTCCTTATACGATCACTGTAAACCTTTTACTTCAAGACAAAAAGTCATTGAGATAATGCATAAAGCTAATAAAATGTTTCCAGGCAGGGAAATAACAATCTAACACTGCTGACTGTCTACAAACTGCATGAAACAGCACTGATGTAGCTGCACCGCTCAATAAAACCTCCCCTGCCCACAGTGACACGTTACCCTGCTACAAAAGATTAAGGATCACATCATATGCTCACATACAAACACTAAACTAGTTTCTGGGTTTGTTTTTGCAAGCCCAGAATATCCACTTAAGACACATATCCCTTTAAGAATTACATAAAATGCTTTCGGACATAATCTTGGAGCCAGTCTGGCGGCAGTAGCCTCAACAGTTGGCAACACGGTCATGCCCTCAACCAGATTACATTTGCTCTGCCTTTGACAGAGTGACAAGCACGACAGAAGTCAACTGAAAAGCCAAAATAAATGCACAAGGATCTAGCTTAGAGTAATCTCCCAGCCCAGACTTGCACGCTAAACATTTACCTGCAGGTGAAAGGGAGCAAGATGAGAGAGTGGATGTGCAATATTTAGCTGGAGGTCTAACCGAGATCACTAGATCAGAGAGGCTGATGCTATAATGGAGTTGGACTTTCTACAGATTCCTAAAAAATGCCTTCAAGGGGCACAAAAAGTCTGGACTGCTGCAGCCGGTTTCCTCCCAATCTGATTTACTCTTAGCAACCCAAAAATAAAACGCACTGAGGTAATTTCCATTTTGATTTCTGCATTAAAATGTGGACAGAAAGTATAAGAAAAACACATTTATCTTTATTACCACTGGGTTTAGCATAAAGTGAAACCAAAACTGATTTATAATAGATAAAAGTGGAGCTCATGCTATATATTTTAAAAGCTCTATTATCTGATTTAATAGTCGTGGGAGAAGATGAACCCAACAAACACTTTAAACCTTTTAGTTTCTGATTAGGAGACAGATTATTTTGCCATCACTCCCGACTAGTCAACTAATAAATGCTCCACTTCGTTCATTGGCTAGTTCATAACTGACTGTTTTTTGCTGCTATTTGCTTTCAGGCTTTCAGCTTCATTGTTTTAATTCAGTCCCACTGCTCTTGCAGTGAACTTTTCTGTCAGGTAGGCAGCTATTTTCCCAGTTAAAAAGCTACCTTCTCAGAAAAAAATACAGTGAGCTTCCGCAGGGAACACAAACAAATGACCAAGAGCACTTACATGACTCCAAATGAATGATAATGTGACTTTATTTGTGGTGACAATATTGGCGCGTCATTACTCTGTTCATAACCAGTGGTCAAAACATTTATTCCAAGTTTCAAGTCTATCAGATAAATGCCTCAGAGAAACACAACTAGTGTGAAATCACAATAAACTATGAATGACTGTGTAAATAATACATTAGTCAAATCCTCCTGAGATCATTTTCCCACATGCAGGCAGCAACGTAAATATTCTATGGCTGTAAGCTGGAGTATGTGTGTGTGACGTCTCCATTGAGGAAATCATCCAATCCAGCGTGTGCACTGCCAAGACCCTTTGAGGACACAGAGTCCTTGGCATTTGCATGCAATGAGTCACATGCCTGAATGAAGGTATGAGGTCCATTAGTATACATATGTGTGCTCTCTCAGTAGTCTCCTGGACTGCGGCCTTTTTCCTCCCTTCCAGCTGCTCTCCTTCATGTTATCCATCATTTTCTTTCTATAGTCTTAATGGCACTTACAATATGCACACGTACATCTCTTGATGTGCCACCCTGTCTTTCAGGTGACTGTGGCGTCTATTCAGAATGACACTGCTCAACAGCATCTCCTCACCTCCTGACTGAGCCCATATGGCTCTGTTGCTTCTTACGTAACACAGGCTTTCATTATGGATGCCATACTGCAGTGAGTAAGGGAGAAGGACAGAGGCGGAGGGTTAGGGACAGGGTGAGAAAAAGAAGAGAGGAGGAGGGCAAAATAGAGGACATGGAATAGTAAGATTTAGTGTTAAAAAAAGGAGATGAAAGAGAAAGGACTGGGAATAAGGAAGTAGATTAACAGCACAAGAGAAGCCCTGTCTGTAACTGGGAACCCTATGAGGCATAACCAATTAACAACCGATGAAGCTAGTCACAATATCACGTCACCCCATACATATTTCATCAGGTAATACCTCCCAGTCCTCTTTCTGCTTATACCAACCTGCCCTTGATGTTGTTGAGTTGCCTTCTAGCATGCTACAACCTTTCCTTTAGCAACACGCCAAGGATCTTGCGCTATAAATTAATTTTCCCACATTGTTTCACCTTGAATCTTGTGGATCGATTTGAAATAAATTCCCCTCTGCTCTGCGTGCCGGCCTTAGGCTGTACAGAGAACTGGTAAAATTTATTATTATATGACGTGAAGGAAACCATAACTATCATTAATCTAGCGTGTGGGAAGATGTTTCTATAATTATCAAAGGCTCCTTTGGTATATACTTGTATATTGACTTGACCACTGCAGCTGGCAGTCCTATTATGCCTGGAGTTTATAGTTGGAGTGAGATTATGCTTTGTTTTCATAAATCAAGCCTTCATCCACATAGTCAAATTGCTTTTTGCATTCACGGTTGTTATGTTAAAGCTTCTTGAGTGACACTTAACTAGAGTGAGGGAAAATTGGCTTCATCTACAGCAAAAGAAATCTCCATTACTTCAAGTACGCGACTGAAGATTTAGAAAATACAGCTGATATCCAACAAAAAGACAACATGATAAAAACAACCATAAACCATGCAGCAGTCTTTGGCTGTCAATACAATGTATGTCAAACTGTCACTCTTCTTTTACAGTACTGTGCAAAAGTCTTGAGCCGCCCATCACTTATTTATATTTTGATGCAGAAATTTAATACAAGGCAAAAATTTGTACAAAGAAGTCTTTGTCTTGGAATAAAACTGAACTGTTTTGAATTCTTTGAACTCTTTCTTATATCGTATTTGAACATTTAGCCAATAACAGATAAGCATCACTCACTGACATTCAAAAATGTTGCTGATAGGCTGATATGTTTGCACAGTGCTGCCAGCCCTATTTCTTTATGTAATTTTCTTTGTAGAAATGATGCCACACTGCTTCAATAATGTCTGGACTCTGATGGAGCTCCACTGTGTGTTTTGTATCCAGGTATGTTTTTACTACATCAGCAGTGTGTTTCTGTCATGGTAAAAAATGATGATGCTTTCCAGATGGTTTTGCACTATTGACCAAAATCTGACGGTACTTTTCTGCATTAATAACTCCATTACTTTTGACAGGATCCCCAGCACCGCTGGTTGAATTCCAGCCCTTAAACTATGACAGAGCCTCCACCATGTTTTACAGATGGCTGTAAGCACTCACTGTTGTACCTCTCTCCTGAGCTCCTCCAGACATACTTGCAATGATTCAGAGTAAAAGCTTTAAATTTGGATTCATCACTTCATCAGACCTGTTGCCACTGATTTTCAGTCCAGTTTTGTGTAACTTGGCAGACCTCAGCTTTTTCTCCCTGTTTCCCTTCTTGACAGCCATGTTTCCACTGAGACCATTTCTAACAAGGCTTCAGTGAACGGTAATCAGGACTGGATCAACTGAAGAGCTCAAAGCTCGATCTTTCAGGTCTTGTCAGATTTCTTTTGTTTTTCTTAAAGACATGACTTTTAGTTTCTGTTCATTGGCTGTAGTTTGTTAGTTTTTTAAAGGCCTGCCAATTCTTCTTTTGTCCTCTACTTGCAGACCATGCAGTGATATGACAAGTTTTTGGCTTTGGTGTGAATCAACTTGTTTGATGGGTTTAGCAAATGGGTTTTTGCTAAACTGTCCAACACTAGTTCATGCTTTGAGTAAGGTGAGTAAGGTGCATTTTTTTTATGCTTGAACGATGCTTAACACACAAATAAAAAAAAAGACAAGCAAACAACATTCCTCTGAAAACGGTCAGCCGTGAAAAAGCAGCCAATGTCCAAAAAACATCTTCAGCAAAGGCCTTCAGAAAGAAATATTCCTTAAGACCACTTTAATAACAACAATTCCAGTTTGAGATTTTTGCACAGCACTGTAGCTCACAATCAAAAATACCTATAGATATGGCTCCTAAAAAAATAAATAAATACAATAACATGAAAATCAAAACAGCAGAAAACATCCCATTTTTACTACAGTTCATTCTCCTAAAGTCCTGCTTCCTGTAGTTGAGTCATCATTTGACTATTTTCTCAGCTGCTTCTAGAGATATTAAACCATCCTTTTACAAGCTAACTACTCTCAGTGATTGGTTTGACTTTGATGTGCCCATTTAAGGCTAATTAGAAACAGACAGATGGTGACAGTGTGCGTGAATCTGTGAATGCATTTGAAATAATATTTCAAGTCGATGAAAAATCAGCATTACGGGCATCAACGCTATCTCACTTACAAATATCAGTGGCATGTAGGGGAAGTGATTATGAATTACTGCCCATAAAGGCTCACAGCCGGAGAGTCTGCACTTCCTCTGACCCCAGCCTGCTCTTGCTCTGGTGGCCAGACCACTGAGAAGCTATTTTTTACTAGTCATCTGTCATGTAAAATGCCAGCGGGGGTAATCTATGCCAGGTTATCTGTAAAGCCAACTTATCTTTTTAATTAGTGAGCCGGAGAGGGTGACTCTGGAAAATAACAACATAGATCTACTGGAATGATCTGTCTTTGCCAGCTACAGCATGAGCAACCCCGACCGAGAGACAGCACAAGGAAAATCTCTGCTCAAATGGATGGATAGCCAAAAGCTTGAGGCTTACAGCTAATGAGCAAACTAGCTGTTACAGACACTAAACACCCAATGAAAGACAATAAACTCATTTTTCAGACATTTGCGTGAATTAATATGTAAAAATAGAGCACCATGAGCTATCTAGCGAGTTGCCGAGCAGGAAGGGAACACAATGTGCATTGAAGATAGGAGAATTATTTCACAGATCAAAGGCATGAATCTTAACAGTGCTAGAGATTTAAGTCATTCAGTGGAAGAGAGCTCTGATTGCAATTCCTGTCACACAGAGAGAGCCTGCTCTGCCGTGTGTGTGTGTGTGTGTGTGTGTGTGTGTGTGTGTGTGTGTGTGTGTGTGTTTGTTTATATGCTGCTAATTGTGGCCCAGAGCAGAACAGAGCAGGCGAAGCTCTGATAAACAGTGAAGCTGAGCCCTCCAAGGCCCCTAACCTCTCACATCACCGGTCCCTGACAGCCCTTTTCTTCATGTGAAAAACCAGCTAAAATCAGCTCTAATTTCCTGCTTCTCTCTGAGTCAGTCCAGGAAGACTGTCTACTGATTTAGTTTAGGATTAGTAGAACATGATATATTTTAAAATGAGCACTTTAAATGATTAATGAAGGTCTCAGTCAGTGATCTAAGGAAGGCAAGTCAAGTTACAACAACTTTACACAGAAACTTTGACCACAATATTCCTGAAGCGCTAAAACTTTCAAACTATTTCCTTTACCTGGCCCTGCCCCCTACCGTATCCTGACTTGTGGCCCCCTATCACTTAGAAAATGGTAGCTGCTTGCTTTTTAATGTGAAAAAAAATTTGGGAAACTAAGAAAAGAAGCCAAAAAGGAAGCGGACTCAGCTTTTCAACAACAAACAGAGCAGTGTAAAGTTTATGTTACAATCTGTGTGATGCCTGCCATCATTCATTCAAGCATAATAAACCAATTTTTCTCTCTACAACACACATTTGTATTTCCATATTTCCCAAGACTGCAGTGTCTTACCCCTAATCCTAACCATCGCATGTTTATGTCAGACTAAAATAAATTGAAAACACAGTCAAACCTTATTCCTGAAGGTGCAGAGTTTTATTGTAAACAGATCTATCAGCATTTTTAATTGCCTGTTTAATTTTAAAACATTTACTACATCTGTAGATATTTGCTAGCTTCTTCACTTCTACTTCTATCAATCAGTAAGTAAAGCCATTGGCTAGAATGTGAAATGGGGATTACTGGAAGCTTAGTGGACCCACCAAGGAGCCCCTATTTTTTCATATGAGTTTTTACTCTCAAAGCATGAAGCTCATGCAACCAAACTGTACCTGAAGGAAGTGGAAAGCAGAATTTTGAGCTCTTTCAGAGAAACTACACGTAGCTACTGGTTTAAAAAAATCACCCGAGTCAAAATCTTTTACTGAACATATCAACTCAGCAGACACAAACAAGTTCACCACAGCGGATACCAAAGAAAACAGGTTACCATTCACGAACTGTGCAGTGCTCATTGAGAAGGACAGAAGCCTCGACATTGACGGTTACTGGTAACCCACACACACACACACACACACACACACACACACACACACCAGTACCTGCTCTTTGAATCCCACCACCCACTGGAACACAAACACCACCAAGCAGAGAATGTTCCCTTTAAGGCAGAGAGAAAAGAAAAGGAACAAACACACATCAAAAGACCACTTAAAACATGTGGCAATCCAAACTGGGCCTTCATCAAGTCAGCTAAGAGACATGGAAATAAATACTGGCAGCCACCAGCCCTACCTCTCAGTCTCCTAGTAGATCCACCTATGGTACTGATTTCAAAATACTATGCCACCTTGTTCTCAAGTTATTCACAAGATTCTCAGAAAACTTCTGACTTTGACTGAGAAACACAGAATAATCGTTTGTCCAAGCATAACATGCTGGTGACCTTCAGTCCCAGCAAAACCCTCAGACAAAAACTGGTTCATCCCAAAACCGGGAAAAAACAAGCTGAGCAATGCTGTGAGGAGTCCTTGGACTAATACAAAGGAGAAACCAAACAACTTCACAGGTGCAAAACACTGCAGAACCACCTCTTCAGGACAGGACTCAGCTGTGTATTTGCACTTACAGGAAAGGGGAAACTCTTTTGAGGGCAAATATTTTCACATTTTGGGCAAAGAGGAGAAATGTCAGTTCAATTGTATTTATGTACCAGCGGTGCATCCCTCCCACTATCACACTTGGCAACAGCAGGAAGGAAAAACTCCCTTCTAATAGGAAGAAACGTCAGGCAGAACCAAGCTCAGGGAGGAGCAGCCATCTGACACGACCAGCTGGGAGTTAGAAAAGGGAGACAGAACAAAAGACACACTGTAGAAGACAGGCAGAGATTAATAATACCTAAGAATTAAATATGGAGTTGTGTATAAACACATAAAGGAGTCCATGTATGACCAACTATTACTAATCTATTCTGCATCCCTGAGATCCCATCCCAGGCAATTTAACCACCATTCCCATGTCAACCCATCTGACCTTAACAACTCACAATGACTCAATCATGTCCTATCCATCGTGACAAGCCCATGAGAAGATAAACAACTTGGATTCCCATCATCTTTTAGAAGAAAAGAAGTCTTTCTAGTGAGAGGTAACTTCACCAGCACCTAAACCAGTCCTGGTGCCTTCAACTCAAACACAGACATCATGGAGAAGCACAAACTCGTGTTGGTTGCTCTCCTCACATTTGGAAATCCCACTTGGTGCAACTTATAAAATGCTGATGACAAACTGCTGTTACTGAGGCTAGTAGGTAGTCACTGACCTCAGGGTTTAGAATACCAACCTTGGCCTTGTCAAGCTGCGCCTGAGCCTGTCGCTCTGCCTCTCTGCGGACTGCCTCCTTATCTTCCTCCAGGGACACATCGGAGTCTGATGGACGGCTGGTGTAGGAGTCGGCCGAACCCTGCAGAAGACACAAGGAGTAAAAACTCAGTGACACAACAGCACGGAAACACGAGCTTGTCCATTTGGTTTCACACTTTAAAAATGACCGGTTTTATCAGCCAAGACGTGCTGAGATTCTTAGCATCTTGAGGACACCGAGGAAAACGATTTACTTTTCGCTCCCCTCGCTCTTTGATGATACGTTAAACTTTGGAGATTGTGCAACTTAGAAATGTGCGAACGCCCCCACACAGACTGACGTGTTAAACTCAAAGGATTCTCAGTTGATTTCATCAGATCCTGAGCACAAAGGAAGGCTGTGCTGGTCTAATCTACAGAAAATCATTGACACTTCTTCTTTTTCTGAGACAAAGTGCCAAAGGACACAAACTGTCTTTCTTACGATCACATCATAGCAGCTCTTTGTCTATACTTAGCTCTCTCTTAGCTGCTTGCCTGCAGATTTGTTGTCATCTTTCTGTGTCAAACACTGGGGGAAATGTTGAGGAACACCAGATCCCGGTATGTCTGTGTGATATGTGGTTGCCACAAATCTACTCATAAACATGCAGACTCACACATACCAGTGCACACAAGACTACCTAGCATACACTCCTGGGCACAGCGCATTGAGCGCATACCATTACACCAGAAGTTATATACAGCAAGTTGTTAGATGCTGAATGAAAATGCACGCATACAATAAATAATTACTGAAGATAAAGCAATGCTTGCATGCTTTAACACATAGTTAGAACACTCTGGTAAAGGAAAAGAAAAAGCAAAGTTTTCAGGCTTACTGAGTAAACTATCTAACAGATGGGCACACTTTTTTTTCTACACTTAAAAAATGTTCACAGATACAACCATGAAAAAAATGGTTTCTGACATTTGGGAAAGTTATTAGAAGCATGAGAGGAAGAAATAAAACACATGACATGTTTTTTTTAGGTCAACCATTTGTTAAAAATTACCTTTATATGAATAGAACCTATTTTGGAACGCGTGCCATTCACAAGTAGATTAGCCACACCAAATCATGAGAGGGAGATTGTAGTTTCATGGGAGGAGATTGTGAAACAATCCAGAATGGAGTCTTATTCTCATAATTCATATTTAGAACAAATATAGCCCTGATTTTGATATTATAGCAGTTTTTTAGTTGTTTTAAAGCACCCTTCGTTGAAGCAGTGCAACACAAATCACTTCACAGCACATCAAACACAGCTGCATAGCAGCAGCAAACTGATCGTGGAAGCCACAACAAGCTGGAATATATAGTTTCTGATACACACATGTAAATTTAATTTTGATATAGCCACGCTCCTAACGTCAGCTATCGTGGACATTTGGAAATGTTGTCAAAATCAGTTAAAGTATAGAAAAAAAAATCAACCAGTGAGAAGCAGAATAAGCTGCTATATATAGATTTTTTTCTTTGAAATTATACTCTTCTATTCCATAATTTATTAAATAATGCATTCATAAAATGTGTTAATTTGGATTTGATTTTGATATATACTAAACATGAAATTAGTAGCCACATTTATGCTGGCATAAATCCGGACGTACAGATGAAAAACACAAATATGAGATAAAAAGTTTTGTTATCTTATTTGTGGGTATTAAAAAAATATTGCGCTTGCAGATCAACATTAAATCTGTTCCAGTTTCAGGTAATTATCAGGATATATGATAAAACGGGGTTTTTCTTAACTAAGTGAAGACAGCATGAGTCTTATCCTTACCTGCACGCTTCTCTGACACCCACACAAGGTCTTTCATTCATCTCACTGCACCATTACACTCTGTTTCTGTCTGAGCTAAAAATAGCCTCCCTCACTCTGTGCCTGATTAGAATTATCCAGCCATCACATACATACGAAGGATGATCGTGCCTCCTCTCCACTTACGCTATAGTAAAGAGACGAGATTTGTTGCTGTTGATAAAACAAGGTTATTAAAATTTATCTCCTCCATCTACGACAAAGCCCTTCTTTACATCAATCACCTCTCTGTTTCTCATCCCTCTCACCTGAAATAAACAGCTCATTTTAAACTACGTTAATTAGCTAGATTGTATTGGCTGTATTGGCTTCTTTTGCTTTCAATCCACCTGTGGTTTTCAAAACATTTTTACCTACAGTATAAATTACTTCTTTGGAAAATGCTGCTCCTTATCATGGCCTATAACTATTATTTAATGCACATAAACCTTTTTTTTTGTACTTGAAAAGTGCAGGTGAGCATACCTGGACTGCTATCATTACTCAGGTCACGATTAAAGATGAAGCGTGATCGAGAACACCGTCCCAGTAGGTCAGAGGGAGGTGATATGGAGCTCTGCCCAGAATCTGACAGCCATAACTGATAACAGCACCCAACTTCTCATCATCACCAGGCAATACATAACAATGCCAGAGTGACCCCAGCACTGCTGACTGATAGATGGATGCATGAAGGAAGCACAGACGCACAAAACACAAGTGCACGCACACAGAACACACTGATTTTCATGATGTAAGCACACTCAAAAGTCCCCTTACACAGGCATCGGAGCTCTTGACACGACCTCCTTTGGCTCGTTTCAGCAAGCGGATCCAGGTGGCCTTCATCAGCCACACTGGTCATTCAGGGTCCTGAGCCACTGCCCCCCTGCTACTACTACAATTACACCTGACTGCACTGCTGTGGTCACCTTGCAGCTACCGTCACTGCTCTGGCTACAGGTACATTCAACACTGTGGCTACATCGACAGCTGGTTCCTGTTACACCTTGGCTGTAAGTGCTACCTTCATCTCTGGATAAATGAATTGCTTTAGAGCTTCCTGTTTTTCTGCAGCTCCAGCTAGCTCGGCTGCTGTCTGTAGAGCCACAGCTCCTGCCCCCTCTGCTGCTGCTGCTGTTGCCAAAGATGGGGAATCCACAGGAGCTCTCTGCCCCGCGCATAATCTCAGCAGCTCTCTCCCCGTCTGCCCCAGTCTCCTTGATAGCCGGAGTGCTCAGTCTGCCGCTGCAGGTGCTGAGGCTGACTCCCGGTGTGAGTCAGGTTGCAGTGATGCTTCTCATCCTCTCCTTAAAGCTCTGGCTCCAGCCTTGTTGTCCTCCACTGTAGACTCCCTGTGCTGCTGCTCCATAAGCGATGGGTAAAAGCGGTTTATCTACATGAGTCCCGGTGTGGCTGCATGTGACCGACTCTCCTCCTGATACTAATGAAGCTGCTGCTGCTGCCTTTAAGGTGCTGGAAGCTCTCCCTTTCTCATTCTGTGTCTCAGCCTGTCAGTATTTGTCTTGCTCACTCCCCTTCACAAGCCCTCCTGTACTACTTCAGTGATTCTGCCTCTCTATCTCTGTCTCTACCCACCCCTTCTCCTCCTCTTCCTCCTCCTCCTCCTCTGTCACTCCTCTCTTATTTTTTTCCTTCAGTTACCCCTCACAGTCAGTCCATCTGCTCCTTGTGTCTCTGCAGTGACCAGTGCATGCGCTATATGGACACTGTTTATGTGCCAACCGTGCACCGTGCTGTCTTCTATGTGCAAACGCACTACATTCACACTGTGATATGAGCTGTTTATAGCTGCTGAAACTGATGTCACCTCATAATTTTTTCAGGAAGGATCCAAAGTACAAGTCAGAATGCAAATGCATCATTAAAACTGCATCTTTAATTACTTTCATATCTATTCTTGCAACTTTTCGTTGTACTCCCTCCTCTGGAAAAGCAAAATGCTGCTGGTTTTATCAACAACAAAAAAACCCAAACAAAAGAAAACAAAAACAAAAACAATGCAGTCCTAAAACCCAACATGGATATTTCACAATGATGTAATGAAAAGAGAAAAGAAGCACATTTTTGCATGGAAGAAACCAGCCAGTTACCATTTCAACACATCAGAACAAACACTCAAGAATTTCAACACGAGCTTAGTAAAAAAAGCTAAACAAAACTGTTGGTAGAGCTGGAAGTTATCATATAATCAACTGACAGAAAATAAACTGCTCTGGCAGTCAGTTCATCATTTTCATTTCAAAGCAAAAATGCCAGAAATTTGTTGTTATCAGCTTTTTAATTGTGGGTATTTTCTGCATCATTGTTACTTCAAGGTCAGCTGCTCAGGGAGTCCCTAAAAGAAGCTTTGCCTTTGAACCACTTGGCTTTTCATTTAAGAAATTAGAGGAATTAAGGAGCAGGCTTGTAGATAATCATGTTGAACATGTCGATGTTCATATTTCCTGTGAGTCTAAAAAACAAAACAAAATAGATTTAAAAAACAAACAGTGTTTTCAACATTAATGAAACAAGTACAGCATGTTTTCTCTGTATAACTTCTTGTCTGAGGTGTTTTTGTACACACTTTCTAAAGATCAATATCTGTGGACTTTAAACTGCGGAGCAAATGCCCACCTTGGACATTTTATAGAAAGAAAATAAGAAGAATAATTAGCACTGCACTGTATGCATTATGCTGAAGTAAGTTTAATATACTGTATCTTTTTTAATTATGTCTTCTTCCCTCTGCTCTCAGCAGCAGGGATTGTGAGGTGAAAGCTGCTCTAAATCCTCTCCTGTCAGATCAGTGCTGATTCATTACATGTGAGCAGAGCACTGCAAAGCCACAAAGGACAAATGAGAATAATTACAACGTTAATTAAAAATTTCCCATCCTCATATAGGACTAGCAGAAGTTAAACCCTGCAGAAGGATTATTCAGAATGATTTTTTTTTTGCTCTGCTGACACATGATGTGTGTCAGTGTGACCTGTCAGGAGACTGTGCTCATTTGAGTCAGGGGTCAAATTGTGGGACGAGCGATTTAAACTGGCCAGTGAAGCAACTCCCTGAGGAGCACTAACTGTAGGTCTCTGAATGACACGCTAATCATTGGTGTTTATCAAAAGCAACAAATGACAGGAATCCATTTACTTTAGGTCTTTCCAATACAGGCACTTCGTGACACTCTGTACACAAAGGAAAACGCTGAAGGATAATTAATGTAATTGTATATTGTTAAGGCCAATTATCTTAATCTTAATCTTATCTGATTATAGTTTAGAACCAAATGAACAGAAAGGGTGGACAAAACAAAAGCCAGTGCACACTCAGAGTTAAAAGAAAAGGTGTCATGAGAACCTTCGTAACATGACATATCCTCAAATGCAGCAGTTCAGTAGACCAGTCCACAGCACTATGAAATCATGCGAGGGTCACATATGTTTTGTTCTGGTGGCTCAACACTGGCCCGCAGAGCTCTAAGGGCAGGGCACAGATGCTCTGAACGTGGAGCTGTGGAGCCCGGGGAGGAGGCTGGTGGAGTTGTGAAGGCTGCGCTCTGATGGAAACTTGCAGCGACAGAACAAGCCTCCGGCTGCCCGACACGCCTGACCTGTGATACTGACAGCACTGTGTCACCACACACAGGACACTAATAATAATCTAACAGCAGTATGGTGTCGCTCTGATCCATAAGGAGAAGTACTCTCTTTCTATCTGGGCTCACCCAGCAGATTGGGTGAGCACGTCACCATCAAAAGGAGATGAAAATTCGGTGTACCGCTAACAAACATCTGAGCGAGCGCAGCAGTTTGATGCTCTGCAAAAAGCCACATATCACATCACATTTGCCACCAAATATGATACGAGACACTTGAGTACTAAATAGCATTGCTTGAGGAAGTGAAACGCTAGTACTGTGCCGAGACTATTCCCAACAGGTCAAGTATTTTCATTTATGCTGCGAGTTGTCACAACAAAGACTAGAATGGTTTTCAAAAATTGCTACCGACATCTATGTTTCCCACAAGAAGTATCCAGTATCCAATTAGGTCCTGACATCATATCAAGTGCAAAAATGAGACTGAAATTCAAAATGCTTACTGAAATGAAATCATCAGTTTTTGGTCAACTTGTGCCAGAAAATTTAATACAGAGATTCAGAGCTGCTTAAATGGCTTTAGACTCGGGATAGAGAACAGGTTTCGTTTCAGGGGTGGCTGTTTAAAAGCAGCACACAGAATGGGCAAAAGTGGAGGTGGGGAATTGAGAGGTCCTTAAATATCTACATCACCTTTATTAATTTATTTAGACCGAGGTACTTGCTGCAAGACCGCCACTGACCTCTACATGGAGCGACAGGATGGCGATCATTACACTAGAACATACAAATCACAGTGGAAATATCCACAGTGAAAGAGGAAGCTGACTCAGTTGTTGCTGCCTCTTATATCTGACACAATCACTTACGCTGGGTGAAGCCATTACACCAGGGAATCTCTTCATGATCCGAGAGCTTCTATTTTCATTTTTAGAGTCTGCTGCTACTACTCTATACAGTACATGTCCACTATGGAAAAAAGAGAGCTTTAGCCATGCAGAACATGGAGTCTATTTAAGCAGGCTATAAAGTGCTCACGCTGGCCTTTTTTTAGTCAGTTTTACCAGTTTTACTCTCGATTCTTTCTCTGCGACCTAACTCAAGCTCAGCACTGCACTCTCACTCATGTCTGCACTCATGTCCCTTGTTCTTGTGGTTTCCTAAATATCCTCTCACATTCCTTTTTCCTGTTTGCACTTCATTTCACCTTTTCCCATTCATTCGGATTCCATCCTGACCTCTTACTCTGCTTCTTTTATCTCTCATCTCTCTCTCTCTTGAGATTTTCAGCGGCTTGGGTTTCCTTGACTCTGTTGCTGAAGGATGAAGAGAATTGTCATGTGCCTTCAGTGACTCATCAACAGCTGGCAAAGCACTGTGCTGGTATTTGTTTTGTTTATTTTGGGCCCTTCATCCCACTTTACAACGACTTTGTCACAGTTCTGGATTATTAATGTGTTTGCTTCTTGCCATATGAGTTATTTCTATCTTTTAGTACTTCCACTGGTGGCAATTTAATTGTATATATGCAGATTAGTGAAATAACGACAGTGAGACCACTCATTATGCCAGTTTAAATCACAGTTGGGTGAGACCGACAGCATTTTGTGATGAACTGCTTGTTGCAGCTAAAGGTGCATCTACCCAGGCTCATTTATTCATCTGCCAGGCTTTTTTTTTTTAAAAACCTAGCACTAATTGCATATTTTGCTGATGGGATAATGTGGCAATTGTGTAAGATATAGTTGCAAATATATCCAATCAGAAATGAGTAACAAACACTTAAAAGTTGGAGGGCAAGGGGGCACTGCTGATCCTAAAGAGCAAAGCCAAGATAAAAGTTATTTAAAGAAGGAATCAAAAATCAGCAGTTTATTGTGCAGTCTGCTAACTTAACAAACAAATAACCACAACATAAATTCTAAGATGCAGCATACAATCACTGTAAAACTGAGATACTGTGGTCAGTATACCGTACTGTAACTCATATCCTGCTGAAGAAGGAAGATTACTGCTCATGCCAAGCCATCTACAGCTCAGGCACACAGACTGTAGTTGACTACAGTGGGCTGACAATAGGCTGAGCGAGTGTGCTTGCAGTTTCAAGCTTGGCATGACTCATTCTTGGCTGGAACCAAAGCTTCTTTTCCCAGCCATCTGTCCATCACTGCCACTTCACTCAAAGCCACTACACAAAGTCAATTAAATCATCGTTCCACAAACAGCGTCTCCTTCATCAAACGAAGACAATGGGAGCAGACATGACAGCCAAGTGTGAGCGATGTGTGACCGCTACAAGGAATGGTTACTAATATTTAACACAGAACACAGGAATGACTGCAAAGTGAGCAGGAAAGTTAGACAGAAACAGACTCCTGCTACATTTGTAACAGACAACGAAAGTGTGCATGAAAGAAAGAAGGAGAGAGACAGAAATGGGGGAGGACTAATGATCTCTCTGCCGTTGCAAAAGAGGGATTGGCTGCATGGACGTCAAGGTGACACTGACAGGCCTCTGAGAAAGTGTTTACCCAGCATTCCATGTGCCAGTGCATTAGATAAGTGCACCATCCCATCGAGGTGATGGACCCACTGGCTGTCGATTACATGACAGGATCCCGGAGTGCACCATGATTAAAGGCTAGTTAGAAACTTGGTAAGAAGCCTCGTGGCAGGTCGCTTTGAGAGGAGGTATGCATTTCAAACATGCATTTATTCACTGGCCTTTGATCACTGGTCACATAAAGTAAGACCAAAACATTGATAAACTTTAGAATAATGAAAGGAAAACATATAAAAGGGAAACTTTTGAACTATTCAACTGTAACTAATATCAGACATCACTACTGAATAAGATAACTAACCAAAACAGGGAGGAATCGGCAAGAAAGAGTACACTGGAAATTATCCCTGATTATTTTTAATGATAGGTTACTTGAAAACAAGAT